TACTATTCATCAAGCAATGACAACATGGCCCTTCCACCCTTATTGTTGTTGTAGTTGTTAATAAAATAGTGCACAAAGTGACTCTTGATGCCATGGCAAAGAATCCAATCCCCATAAATAATTCTTCATTAGGGCAACTAAAGTGGTGTGGATAATCACATATGATGGAACATGACAGCATATTACAGAAGTGCTGGGGAAAACATGTCTGCTTCAAGGAAAAGTATGTGGGTTTCCTCAGAGAAGGGTTCCATGGCATAAATGAAAAGAAAATACATTATATATAGATTATAAATTTTAAAAAACCCCTGTTATTCAAAGTAGCAAATATTTAGATTGAATGTCTGACTTTTAGGATATGGAATTTTTATTATATATGAACTTAGTTTAATTTTTAACCCATCTCTTTAACTAAACATCTAGACCCAGTATGCAAAAACGGAAAGTTTTCAAGGCTTACTCTTTGTAAAGTCTTCATAAAGTTTTAAAATTGACTGTTCAATGTGTTGGAGAGCCTCAAAAATCTGAATAAATAAAAGAAAACCAGTTTTGAAAGTTTTGAAAACAAGTTGTGATACTAAAATTAGATATCTAAGTCTCTAACTGTTTGTTCTGAGCTTTCAGTGTTTAAATATATATGAGTTATGCATAAAAGTAAAACATTTTCCATGGTTTTTAAATATAAGGGACAGTACCTTGTGGAATCTGTTGAAACTGTTAATATTTGCATGCTTTGATGATAATTCTTTTTCTGGAGAGTTTCATGTGTACAAGATTTCACTACCACAAGTTAATAATGACAAGAAAATCTTTCTCCCATATTAAAAATAGAATTCTGTGGCATTCTTCTTACTTGAGTGGTGTGGTTTGTAACTAAGGTTGAGAAAAATGGTGTGTCCTTGATAACTAAATCCTACCTCTCTGCTGCAGTAGGTCTCTAACTTGCTTTTTAGAATCATGGAGTGGTTGGGATTGGAAGGGACCTTAAAGATCATCTCATCCCAACCCCCTGTCATGGACAGGGACAACTTCCAGCAGCCCAGATCGCTCCAAGCCCCATCCAACCTGGCCTGGAACACTCCCAAGGATGGGGCAGCCACAGCAACTCTGGACAACCTGTGCCAGTGCCTCACCATCCTCATCATTAAAAGATTTCTACCTTATATTTAGTCTTTTATTCTTATGTCTCCTCCTGCCTCAGCTCCACTATTCCATAAGCAGCCTCTCTGAGGGTGTATCTTCTGAAGAATGAAAAAAACAAAACCAGCCTCTCTGAGGGTGTATCTTCTGAAATTTAGGTAAGAATGAAAAAAACAAAAGCCTCTGATGATCTTGGTGAGAGTAGGTGCTAGCTCCAAATAAAACACCCTGGAGCACTTGTTTGATCTCTAGGTTATAGACTTCTGGGTGATGTTATAGAAGTCCTGCAAGCTCTTGATGTTTTAAATGACCCAGCACTGGGCAGGTATGGATGGAGAAGTGACTCTGTCTGGAAAGTGGCAGAAAAGAAGAATTAATGTGAGTCTGGAAGAGGAAAAATAGAATAGCTGGAGCAAAAATGTTCTGGAGCAAATGTAAACAGAAAAAAATGTGCTAACTAGACATTGTCTTTGTCCAGAATGCTTTTGGGAAATGCACATGAACAGGTTGAGGAGATTTCGTGTTGTTATTAGTTTATTTTCAGGTCATTTATTTAAGTGTCATAAAGAACATTAGCTAGTGGTTAGGGACTCCAATATCCATTATATCATTCCAATCATGTGGACAAGTTTATACTACACATGATTTACAATGGTCTTTCCGCTGCTGAAATTGTTCTGTTCAGGTACAAGGTTTTATATGTGGTTGTATTTAGCAAAGTCCAAGTGGCTGAGCCCGGAGACGTCTTCCAATCAAAGCCCTAAAAATTAATGCCCTCACACGAACACTGTGGGTTGCAGTGAGAGCTGTTTATGGCTCTCTGCCTACATCCTTTATCATGTCTCCACTGTTCTTAGTAAAATATACAGAACTACTTTATGCCAAAACAATGGAAGTTAATGCAGATAACTTGTTCCAAAGTTAACCATCAAATAGATCTCCTTTTTTTCTTTCGAGCTGTTAAGTGAAATGGTGTACTAAAACTTTGAAAAATTGTCAAGATGATGAATACTGTGTGTGCAATACAAGTAAATACCATGGAATTGATTGCACACACATGTCTTAAATAAAAGATATTAAAGAGTTTATTCCAAAGAGAGATCGGTGGAGTTTTATCTAATATTATTAGGAATTCTGCAATGACGGGTCAGATTTATAAGGGTTGAAAACTAAGAAGAAAACTTCTTCAGAAATAGAAATGGTGCTTTGAGTGGATGATGGGCTGGGTGATTAAAGGCAGGTAGAGGGATACAGCATGCCGAGGTAGTCCAAGCTCTCACACCTCAAGCAATTCTTAACAGCAATGACTTCTGAATATCTGTTAGTTAGGACAAATCTCTTAATCTGCTTCTCCTTCATTTTTTTCCCTGTGCATAAATATATAAAAGTATACCCTGACAGTGCTGTGTCCATACTTCAGAGGAGCCACCACAGCCAGTTTTATGTCTGTAATTCAGCTTAAACTGTCAAAATGCTGATTTAACTGTGAAGAGAATATATGAGGAAAGACTGAGAGAACTGAGAATATTCAGCATAGAGGAGAGAAGGCTCCACCAAGGAGACCTTAGAGAACTTTTCAGTGCCTAAAGGGGCTCCAAGGGAGCTGGAGAGGGGCTTTGGACAAGGGCCTGGAGTGACAGGGCAAGGAAGAATAACTTCACACTGACAGAGGGCAAGATTAAATGGGATATTGGGAAGAAATTCTTCCCAATGAGGGTGGTGAGGCAGTGGCACAGGTTTCTCAGAGAAACTGTGACTGCCCCATCCCTGGAAGTGTTCCAGGCCAGGTTGGATGGGGCATTGAGCAAACTGGTCTTGTGGAAGGTATCCCTACCAGTGGCAGGGGCTAGGAACTAGAGGATCTCTAACATCCCTTCCAACCCAAACCATTCCATGATTCTGTGTATGGAATTCAGCAATACCAAAAATACGTCTAAGCTCAGAGAACCAACCCAAACCATTCCATGAGTCTATGTATGGAACTCAGCAATGCCAAAAATACGTCTAAGCTCAGAGAATTTAAGTGACTGAGATGGGAATGGTTTGGCACATTTGGGAGCCTGGCTTTTTTATAACAGAGGTTATGGATTTGGAGGAGCTGTTGAATGTGATTGAACTTTTTCTGGTTGTATCTCCAGAGCAGCTCCAACAAGTGATGGCTAGCAGTAGAAAAAAGGTGGATCTCACAGGTGACTTAGTCATTGGGTTGAAAATGCAGCTTATTGTAGATAAACATGAAATTAATGCACCAAGGGAAAGCAAGCTAAATCAAAGAATACACATTACATGGAGTAGTTACTCAGTGTACCAACTTGGGAAAGGAGATTTAGGGGTTTGAAATAAAATCCTGAAAGCAATTAGTCTAGAGTACAACTGCAGTAAAGCTCACATAGTGTGTGTATGTTTGTATTTCCATCGTGGTTTTGGAGAAAAAGGGTCTGTTTGCATTTAAAGGTGCACTATTGCAGGGTGAAGTGGGTGATTCTAGTGTTCAGGAATACTTGTTTTGACAGAGAGGGAAGGGAGCAGTTCGTTCTCAGCCCAGAAATGAGTTGTGATGAAGTAAAACTCTGAAGAACTGTGGAGGAGGTTGATAAAGTGGAGCAAGTGTTGGCTTTAGTAAACAGTTTAATGAACAGGCTATAGTCTGTAAACATTTGGAAATTAAAAGGAAACGGAAAATTTAAATGTCTCTACTTATCTGGGAGAACCATAACTGAAAGGCATGTAAGTGAATAATATTTGGGTAAATTAACTTGAGGTACAAGCAGGCGTTTAGACTGAGGAACTCATGGTGGCCATGGTTGGAGTCCTATCCATGTTAATTTAGGAGAGTCATGGTTGAATGAAGGAGCTTCACTCAAGTGTTTCCTGGGGAAAGATCGTAATTCATTACTACTTTAATTCAAACAGTAGAACTGGATCTGCATAAAATGTTACATTTTATATATTACAAAATATGAGTTCCGTGGCCTCTGTGTAACTTTGTAAACACATCCTATTGCTTGGAAGGGTTTTCTGCAGCATGGACATCAGGTGAAAGAGCCAGTAGTGTCTAATCCTGTTTGTGGTACCTCAGGAAGGTCATGGGTAGCTCTGCCTCAGTTTCTCCGTCTTGGTGTTCATGGCCCACACCTGTGAAAAACCATGGGTTTGACTCTATGAATCATAGAATCACGGAATCATTAAGGTTGGACTTCTGATGGGATCATAGAGTCCAACCTTTGACCAATCACCACTTTGTCAACTAGACCATGGCACTAAGTGCCATGCCCAGTTGTTTCTTGAATACCTCCAGGGATGGTGACTCTCTAGGCAGCCTGTTCCAATGCTGAACAGCCCTTTCCGTGAAGAAATTCTTCTTGATGTCCAACCTGAACCCCCCAGGCACAGCCTGAGGCTATGTTCTCTCATCCTGTCACTTGTTGCCTGGGAGAAGAGGCCAAGCCCCATCTTGCTATAACCTCCTTTCAGGTAGTTGTAGAGAATGATCAGGTTAGGATAAAGAATTGCTACCAATCTGCTAGCTGCAGTCCTGGCAAAAATTCCAAGACTTTTCTGGCAGAGTTGCAATTTTACTTCCAGTGGTGTTTGCATTAGTTTAGCAGGCAAATGGTTTTATTCTCCTTATTGATTCATGTGCTATCAAAGAACCTGTTATTTTATATCACAGGTACCATATTGACTAAAATATATACGGAGTCTATCATTTCTTGAATCCATCTTTTTATTTAAATGGATTTAAATGTCAACCATATTTTACCTTTTCATTTGCTATTATGCTAAATTTTTAATTACCAGGTGAAACTGAAGTCCAGCATAAACACAGTACACATAATTCTTGTTCTTTTTCCTCACAGGTTCATGCCAGAGCACAAGGTTGCCCATTTGGAAAAGGTAATTGGTGTTAAAAGAAATGGAGATGCTTATCACTCAGAGGGTGTGTCTGGCCAGCAGCAGAGCAGAGCTGTAATGAAAACCAGTGACACACACCGTGAGTCTGGACTTTGTGAGTCCCAGCCTGGACTCTGTACCACACAGCATGAGAGGTTGCCTTCCCCATTACCAGCCCCAGCGAGCCCGAGCCAGTCTGAAGCACCAGAAAGTACAAATCCTTGTCAAGAGGAAGATAAGCAATGCCTGACTTTTAACCTCTCTAATATCTTGAGTGGACAGGACTACCAGCAAAGACCACTACACATTGCCTGGCCTCACAGGTG